ATAGAAGGTAATGAGATGTCTCAATTGCTCTTCTACTAAGTAAAATTGTTGGCTCAGAACGATCTGTAGGTTCTGATTGGATTTCTGCTCGACGTTACATGAGTTGACACGTCATTAAACATATATCTCACTGGACATTACAGGAGTTAACACGTCGTTAATCAAGAGTGCTCAAAGATAAATACTAAAATTCTAGTATGTTTTGTATCCTATCAATAGTACATGTACGCAGAATGCTTTGCTTCATATCAATAGTACTTATGAAACATATGTATCTTCAGTAATATTATGCATTTGTTAAGAATCACACATTGGCAATATACGCAAGCTATATAATATTCATAATTAGAAGTCTTCCTTTACAGACCAAGTCTAGAGCTTCTCCTTCACAACAGCAGGGCCTCTTGGAATTTTACTTAGAATTCTAGAATCCAAATTTCTGTATAATTTCTTGAGCTCTTGCATTCCCTTTGCTGTTAAGTGATCCACCTCATACTCATAGTGCTCGTACAATGCCGGCAGTGTTTGAATGCACACAAAAACTATAAAAAAAATATAATATATATCAAGTTAATTAGTATAATATATACCCAACAGATAACTTTAAAATACTTCGCAAAAAAAGAAAAGAAAGAAAAGGAAAAAAAAAGGATTTACCAAAGTATAAGAGGTTTAGAGCACTGAAACAGCTTCCTATCACAGAAATTATCCAGAGAAAACCAATTGCCTAGGGGAAAAAACAGTAGGGATAATCAAGGAGGATTATTGTTCTTAGAAAAAAAGATAATACAAAAAATAAGAAAAAATCTTTTTACCATGAGAAAAAGTTTAAGGTCCTTTCCACTCGCAATATGATGAAGGATGGATGAAAATTGATTGAATTTGTGGTGAAATGTTACTGCTACTTCTTTGAAAGCTCTCTCTGATAATATGACGTCCGGAATCTTTGGAGGAGTCCTACAAGAGCAAGTTTGATACTAATTATTAAAATTTGCGTAGCAAAAAAGTCTGGATCAGAGATTTAGGGGCTGTTTGTTTGGCCAAAAAAAAAGAAAATTAAGGAGTAGGAAACCTATTTCCTTAAATAATTGTTTTATGGTTGTTTGGTTGACTTAAAAAAGAAGGAAATCAAATAATAGGAGATGATATAAGATGAGTTGTCACAATATTATTGGATGATGTGAGTGATTTTTTAAGAAAAGTTGTTGGATGGTTGTTTGATTGGCTAAAAAAGAAGGAAATCAAAGAATAAGAAACATATTTCTTATAATAGGTCCTATTCTTGTGTTTGGTTCAATCTTAAAAATAGGAGATGAGATGAGATGAGATGAGTTGTCATTATATTATTGGATGATGTGACCCACACTTAAGGAAATCAATTTCCTTATTTTTTTGGAGGAAATGGGTGGAGATGAAATGGAGATGAGATGAGATGAGTTGTCACAATATTATTGGATGATGTGAGTTATTTTTAAAGATGAAATGAGATGGAGATGAGATGAGTTGGATGATGTGACCCATAAAAGTTGTTTGGTTTATTTTATTGGATGATATGAGATGAGTTGTTGGATGAAAATAATATTTTATTGGATGATGTGGATGAGTTGTATGATGAAAATAATATTTTATTGGATAATGTGGATGAGTTGTATGATAAAAATAATATTTTATTGGATGTTGTGGGTTAGTTTTAGGGATGGAAATGGTGGAAGTTGCACTTTTTTGATTTCCATGACTCAATTTCCTTTTTTTTTGGTTTTTAGGAAACCAACCAAACAGCCCCTTATTGGAATTATCAGCAGAAAAAATTTAATTGTAACAATTGAGAAATTTGAACTTTTACCTGTCCTTAGTGAGAGAAATGCATGTTTTAATATGTTAAACGTTATGCTCTCGTTATCTTGCGATAAATTTTTTTGTCTTGAGGAAAAATGATGGTGAAACTATTCAACATGATTGATATGTACTAAATTTCTAGATGTGACACCAATAAGATTACTGATTGACATAATGCAAAATCCTTTAATGGATGATTTGTATGTTTGATGATGGCAATACCTCGGGGATATTGTAAATAACTATGGGTTTTTATTCTTTTTCTTTTCACTAATCTGATACTGTGATATATACGATGTACATGCTTAAAACGTTCTGTTTTCCCCCTTCAAAAAAAGGGCCCATCTTGTTTTGTTAGTGGACGGCCGAGCATTTTGTGAACATGCATGTCCTGACTTTGCTGTGAAGTAATGGATGAGGTGT